TCTCTCTCTCTCTCTCTCTCTCTCTCTCTCAAATAAATAAATTAATAATAATAAAAAAAAACACAACTCAGTCCACAACCCTCTACTGCTCAAAGACCCCCATGGGTTCCACCACAAGTAGAGTAAAAGCTCAAAATTTCCTCATGGTCTTCAAAAACCTCATGAGTCCTGAGCCCCTGAGAACATTTGCCACCACTCATCTCTAGTCTCTTGGACTTTGCTGCCATTTCTTGGGCATACTTGGCCTATTTGTACACCTGACCTGTTGTGTTTCTGTGTTACTGACATTATGAACTCCCACCACTCTTAAGGTAACTTTCCCAGTTCATCAGCTTTCTAATAGACTACCTACTGAATCCTCCTATATGTACACACACACACACACACACACACACACACACACACACACGCACATAAGAAAAGCTCATCTGCCATCCTTTTTGTAGCACTTACTACTTGCAATTTTTGTTATCTGTTTCTCTCACTGAAGTATAAGATCTGAAAGAGGTTGAACCCATGTATCTTATTTTCTGACATATCTATACCTAGAACAGAGCCTGATGGGAATTCAAATATATGTGTTTAATGAGCATAAGAATAATTGAATAAATTGAATTGAATGAATAAAAAATCAGTAAATAGACAAAAGTATTATATGAATGAAGCCTTTCAAAGAAATATAGATTGGATTCCTCTCATCTTGCAGAGAGCTTTTGGAATACAGGAAAAGTAAAATGAAGTAGCTGAGATACATGATACAGTGTGATTCATAATTACAGGTTGAATATCTGAGAAATTTTGTGGTTTATATTTGACCCAGTGTCTGTATTAAATATTTCAATGAAGGTTAGCTCAAAGGGCTACATTCTCAATTAAAAGTAGTAAAAAGAAACAAAGGGTCCCCTTGTCATTTTAATAATTCAGAGTGATGTTCTGTGAGTTCTGTCATGCTGGAGAACCCAAGATGGTAACTAGTTACCTAAAAATAGAGGACTTGATCAAATATTTAAGATCTCACTTATTTTCATTTTGTGCATATTTTGCATTTCTGTTTTCTCTTGCCCATTCTGCAGCCACACAATTCACAAACTAAATTTAATAGAAATGTTTCATGGATTATTAAATGCAGCTAAACAATGAGATTTTGCTAGAACAAAAGGCCAACCTGGTGCCCCTTTGCTGTTCTAACAAATTAATTTTTCCTTGAAGGTGTGGACTCTGAATTTACAAAGGCTGCTGCCCCTTATGCTAAGGTTTCATAGGGCACTTGTGTGTCTGCTGCAGGAAATGTTTTTGAGGGGAAAAAGAAAAACTCCTCAAAAATATGCTTTATAGTGGCACAATTAAGAAGTCTTACAATCAAGGCTAGCTGAAACCATAGCAGGCCCTTGAAACCATGGCAAAAAGATACTGGATAGTGTCTGTTTGCTAATATAAACTTTGCACTCTGATGCCATCAATAGTGAGAGGGGAAGAAAATAGTGAGTGGGTTTTGGTTGGTGTCTATGTGGGCTTGGTTGTCTAAGGAATTCTCCAGTATCTTCTAGTACATAAGGTGCCTTTCCCTAATAGAGCTTTTTTGGTTTGCTCCTACCACTAAAACTTAAATCCAGGCATTTATGTCTATTTAGGACTATTCAGTAGAAAGATCACTTTTTAAAAAATCACTTCTGTAAACAATCAAAGTTATAACACATCATTCAGAATAGGGAATACTTTAGGGGTAACCTATCACTTTGTGATGCA